TTGCATTCCCTTGGCTTGGATGACTTAGGAAGGCTACTTTCTGTGTTTCAGGTTAAAGGAAGCACTCCAAGATCTCGCAGGGGGTCAAGTGACCTCAGTGTCTACAAGGCCTGTACACCTTGAGGGGCACAGGGCTGAGCAATGACCAGACCCTGGGTGGCAGTGGTGGCGGTTATTCCAGGCTTACGGATGTGCCCCAGGAAGGGGGTCGACCAGTCACAGGCGCCCCAGGAGAGACACTCGGAGCTTGGTAGCTGGTCGGGTGCAGTAAGGTGGGTGGCTTGGTGCAGAAGTGCCCCCTACTGGCCTGCCACAGAGACCGGTGCTCCTTGTTCTGTCATCTGCCACCATTGAGAACAGTCCAGCTCTAGTCTCTTTGGACCCGTCCCCCCCACCCCCCCCGTTTCAGGTAGGTGAAAGCTGCTGTTAAATCCCCCCTGAGTCTTCTCTTCTCCAGACTAAATAAGCCCAGTTCCCTCAGCCTCTCCTCGTAAGTCTTGTGGTCCAGGCCCTTAACCATTTTTGTTGCTCTCTGCTGGACACTTTCCAATTTGTCTACATCCTTTCTGTAGTGTGTGTATATGGGGGGGGCGTCTTACTAATGCAGCCCACAATTAGCCTTAGAATTAGAAGAATTAACCTTCTTCTCAACAAGGGCACACTGTTGTCTCCTATCCAGCTTGTCTGCCGTAACCCCCAGGTCCTTTTCAGCAAAGCTGCTGCTTAGCCAGTCAGTCCCCAGCCTGCGCTGGTGCATGGGATTGTTCTGTTCCAAGTGCAGGACTTTGTACTTGTCTTTACTGAACCTCAGGAGACTTCTTTTAGTCTAATCCTATTTGTCGAGGTCTCTCTGAATCCCAAGTCTACCCTTCAGTGTACTATTTCCCCATTCTTCCCCCACAGTTTGGTGTCATCTGCAAATTTGCTGAGGTTGCACTCCATCCCATCTTCCAGGTCACTGATGGTATTGAACAAAACCAGCCCCAGGATCAACCTCTGAGGCACTCCACTTGATATCAGCTGCCAACTAGACATCAAGCCATTGCTTACTATCCTCTAAGCCCAATGATTTAGTCAGTTTTCTATCCACCTTACAGCCCATTCACCCAACCCGTACTTCCTTAGCTTTCCTATATTTGCTCTATATAGAGCACTATATTTGCTCTTTTCCAATAATCCAAGACTTCTCCAAATTGCCATGAGTTTTTCAAAGATGATGGCTGGCAGCTCTGCAATCACCTCAGCCAACTCCCTCAGCACCCTCAGGTGCCTTGCATCCAGCCCCAGGGACTTGTACACATCCAGCTTTTCTAAATAATGTCTAACCTGTTCTTTCACCACTTTTGGCTGCTCACCTCCTCCCCAAACTGTGTTGCCAGGTGCAGTAGTGTAGGAGCTGATCTTGCTTGTGAAGCCTGAGGAAAAAGAGGTGCTGAGTACTTCAACCTTTTCCACATCATCTGTCACTAAGTTGCCTCTCTGATCTTCCTCTTGTTGCTGACGTACTTGGAGAAACCCTTTGTGTTACCCTTCCCATCCCTTGCTAGCTGCAACTTCAATTGTGCTCTGGCTTTCCTGATTTCATCCCTGAATTCCTAAGCAAAACTCTTGTACTCCTCCTTAGTTGTTTGTCCAACTTTCCACTTCTTGTAAGCTTCCTTTTTACGGTTTAGCTCACTGAAGAGTTCCTTGCTAAGCCAAGCTGATCTTCTGCCATACTTGCTATCTTCCTGTGCATCAGGATGGTTTGTCCCTGTGCCTGCCTTAGCTGATGTGTAACATTTCTGCCTACAGTTTGCCAGAATTATTAGGAACAGAGAATGGAGTTTTAGCTTGGGAAGCACCGGGCACTCGTAACAAGACATGAAACTCTGGAGCAGTTTTGCTGCATGGCATGCAAGTCCATTAGAAAGTAGGGTAGACTTGTATCTTCTAGACTAACCAAAGTAGATATATGACACTGTGAAAGGACTTCTTTCTGCACTAGCTGTACTGCAGCAAAATTACTTCAGTTAGTCTATGATGCAAGTCTACCTAGGATGCAAGTCCAGCTTGCCTTCAGACTAACACACCTAACTACATCTCTGCAAGTCCATTGTTAGGTAGGAAGTCAGGCTCTGAGCTGCTTTGAACTTGCTTCAGCACTTGGCCACCACCTGGATGTTCGTGTCTAGCTGTGTTGAGAGTCTGCATCCTGGAGGAGAGGCCGGGTGCTTGTCTGTGGTGGCCTGGCAGCTGGAAGGAGGTGCGTTTGGGTGGGCTGAGCGCTGGGGAGGCAGGGTTGGTGTAGATACCCCATATGGTCAGGGTTCTTGTGGTTGAGTTTGTGTTTCATGCCCCATTAGGAATAGAGTGGGAATGCAAAGCTACATGCCAGTAAGGAAGCCACCACTGAATGCCAGGGAAAGAGGGAAGGGGGGTATCTATTTTCTACCCTCTTCTATGTGCCAGAGTAGGGAAGGAAACCCCACTGATGTCAATGTAGTTATGCTTGGTTCACCCAGCTTGGCTGAGATGAGCATTGGTCCTTGGACTGGGCTTGAAAAAATTAGAATTGGAGCCAGCCGGGAAAGCAAGCTGAACCAACAAGCCAGGGATTCCTGCTTCCCCCCTGCCCCCTTGAGCCAGCAGTAAAGCTCCCCTTTTGCATACAGAAAGTCTTCTCCAGAAAAGTAGACTTGAAGGAAGAGGGCTGGTTTCAGTTACCTGCTTTTTGGGGGTCGCATCAGGGACCACTGTTGCCAATGGGGCATGCCCAAACAGGATCAAACATCCCCAAGTTCAAGTCTCACTTTAGCTCTTCTCTGATGGCAAGGAGGTAAAAAGGCGTGTGCGTCTCCTCTTTAGCTGAGAAACACTGTCATGGACGGAGCAACTGATGCATTACTACAAAGAAGAGAGTGATGTACCGGCTTTGTTTGTACAGTGATTAGACCACCCTAAAGCAAAAGCAAAAGGAAAAAAGAAGGGTTTCTGAGAACAGTAAAGCAGCATTGCCACCTCGTGGGCAAGTTGGGTCATGACAACTGAGTGCTCACCCCAGCCTTTTAAACTAGTTTTAATTTCTAGTTTCTGACTGGAAGACTGTCACTGTGGAAGCTTCCTTTCCTTAGCTCGGCTTGCCTGTTTTGTGTTTTTTTATCATCCCCAGTTACACTAACAAAAATGACAGCAGTGCAGATAACGTAATAAAAAAGTTTATTCTCTAGCAAGTACAGAGATGATCTCCCACAATATAAAAGTACCAATGATGTAAAATGCTTATACGGCATGAAAAACAAGAGTGTGCAAGAGTTGAAATCCATCCAGCAGGTGTGAGCCCAGCTGAGTATCACAGCCCCATGGTAGAGTTGCATTCAAATGATATCTAACACCTACTTTTTTCAAAGGGTGGGGGGTTAATTTAGGGTGATTGGTTTAAAGTACTTCTGGTGATGGGGCGTGGGCGGGTGCTGATTTTCAGAGGCTCTCCTTGCTTCTGTTAGACATGCTTAAAATCCTCTGAAAACTTCAACCCGCGCTGCTGTGGGACCTATCTAAATGCTCACCGAAGTTCATTGACCCTAGAGGGCCTTGACTAGGGCAGCCATCATAGAGGACACTTCAGTTTTCTGCTACTCTGTTCTCTATTGATACGAGACCAGATGCCTTTATGTCTTCTATTTTACTCTGGAAGAGAAAAATAGGGGACATAAAGGCATTGGTTTTGTATCGATAGAGGACAGAGGACTGTCCTCTATGATGGGCACCCGGGCTGTGACTGAGGCCTTTAGCAAGCAGAAGGTGGAAAGCAAGCCAAGGCTTGATTCAGGCAGGTGCAGTGTGTTGTCACGAGTGCCTGCATTTGTGGGAACAGACCTTCTTGTGAGGGACACCTTACTAGCACTGGGGCACAATAGAGAACTGGGCTTTTCTCCAGACTTGGAAGAAGAGTTGCTGGCACTATGCTTAATGAACCCAGGGTGCCCATCGGGAAGCACTTGTACTCTTTACACAAGAACCAAAGGGCAGTGACTGCTAACGGTGGCCAGTCCAAACGGGTAACAGGAGTTCACCCTCTCGTGAGCCACAACTAACTTGTGGAACGAGCAGCTGGTGCCTATCCCAGCACAACCGCTTTGGTCTCAACCACATCTGTAACACGAGAGCAGTAAACGGGGCAGGGAGTGTGACTCGGTGAAAATAAGATGAGGAGCACTTTCAATTCACATGCTTCCCGCAAGAAGCTGTTTACCAGGGAGCACCACATACTGCCTTAGTACTGCCAAATTAGTACATGAGCTCCAGCTATTTAATTCGTGTAGCTACAATGCATCAGCAAAGGATGTGGCCCTGAGCCTTCTCACACAGCTGTGAAGCTTTTTTTCTCTTGATTTAAGCCAGCATATGCACAGAATCAGGCCTCAGTGGATATGGGGATGTTTGCTCCCCCAGCTGAAGTATCCAGCCTCAGGTGCAGCGGGGAGCAGTGGACGAGAGTACCATGCCCATGCTCCTGCACCAGTGCAACGCCAGGAGAAAAACCATGCTGAGGGAGGAACGGTGAAGCCCCACACTATAGTGGCAATTGCTAAAATGGCATAATAGTTATAGTGCTGACTTTGAAAATGCGGGGGACTCTATCAGGCTATGTCTTCTGCTGTGCAGATCTACATCGAAGGTGATGGAGCTGTGCTAACTTGCTGTCAATCTGATCCATTTTCCCCAAGGAGCTGAGAGACGGTCACAATATTTAACAGACGGTGAGCACTGCTTGTGATATTTAGCCCCCAGACACCTCCTGTTAGCACACACAAGTCTTGTCCTCCTCCCTCCTGCATTTCCCAATGAAAATGTGTCCTGTAGGGCAGGGAGAGCTGTGTTAGAGCAAAGCTATGTCTACCACGCCTATGCTGGAGAATGGGATATGTTGAAACTGTTAGGGTTTAATTGAGACAAACAACTAAAGCCCAAGCAAAGTGGTTCCTTTCCAACTCTGGACACATTACCGTGCCTTGTGCTCAGCAAATTCAATCTATTATTCTCCTTGGAGATGACTGGTCCTGTGAGCCAGGGAGCCATAAATCAGCATCGGCCTACGCTTGGCTGAGGGGAGAGGAACTGGGCATTTTCTGTGCTGTAATAGTGACCGTAGAGGAGAAGACTGAGGGGGAGGGAAGGGAGCTTCAGAAAAGAGAAGGGCTAGAGATCACATTGGGGAGGGGAAGGCAAAGCCCCAGTGAGGTTGGCTGTGGATTTTGTTCACTCTATCCAAGACACGGTGGGGCTTGGGCCAAAGATGCAGTAACCACATGTCTAATTCACTTGCAGGGTACAAATGAAGGCAAAGAAAAGGTTAAGCAGGAGTGTTTGCAAACTGGCAGCACTGAACACTTTAACGGAGCCAGCTCAGGGAGGCCTAGGAGTGCATCTACAGCCTGGCTTGGCCTCTCTCTGTTTCTGTGTTACTCAGTCCTTGCCTTCCTACCAAGGGCAAGAATGTATGGAAACCAAAAGAAGTCTTGCTCTAAAAAAGTCAGAACAAATCCATTCAACTTCCTGAGGCCTTTCCACTGGCAGGACTGCCAAACATTTTGTCTGTTCTCAAAAAATTTTTCTTGCTTGATACTACACTTGCTTTTTCTACACTCGTGTGTTCTGTAGCGATGCCCATGACTTTAATGCGTGATGTTTCTCTTATAAGCAGACACCCATTACTTACCCTAGCCTCACAGACACAAGAAGATGCATAGTGCCATGAGAAGATGCCATTTCAGCCCTACTGGTCCAACCTCATCTTCCTGGGGTCTAGCTTCAGGAACAGACAACACCCAGCTAAGTGTGGCTTCTTCCCCCTACCAGGGCCTGTTTCCATCTTCCATATGGCTGGGTAGGGTAACAAGGCAGTCAGCTGCCTCCGTGAGTCACAGACCCCAATGGGCATTCCCCAGCTTGCATTAACACCTGCTAATAGGCAAATGCTGCCCAGGCTGTTGTTGCTGCCCAGGCTGTTGTTACACTGACATCTCATTTCCAAACACTAATTAATGCAGAACCACAGATAATCCTATTGATCATAAAATGCCCAACTCCTTCATACATGCCAGGGAATGGTGTTGTGCTGGAACCATGCCCAAGGCAATGCTCCCTCTCCATTGTCTGAATTTACCAGTTATTAGTATCATTAAGTCAACACTTGTCTCTGTTTCTGTGGGACAGCCTTGCAAGAAGGGAATGAGACAACAGAACCACCCGAGCTTTGATGACATTAGGCGAGCCCTCCCTACCACTCCTTCTTGCCAGGCCAGCATAGCTGCACGCCACAGGGTAGAGACCTGCACCTCTGGGACTGTAATTTTTGCAGTCTCTAGCACCTTTACAAGAAAGCTGGGCTGCTTTGTACCTTTGTGTATACTTAGGCAAGCACACAGGAGCTGCTGTAGCCCGTGTTTCTTTTACTTTGCAAAAGGCAAAGGGCTTCTGCCAACAAACGGATACATGACGCTACCTGGGGGCCATACCCCACTTCAGAGTGGTGCACTGCTGAGGGGACAGTTCTGCTGACTAGGATATGATTCAGTCCACAGGAGCAGCTTTTATTGTCTGCTCCACTTTAAACATCTGTTTTCTGGGTCCTCCTGGAGCTCATGCAGTGGAGGCTTTGCTGGCCTGACAAGGCTCTACCCTGAGCATCCCTCCCTGCCAGCTGGTGAGACTTCAGAAAGTTGCTTTGTCTTAAAATCTGGGACCTTGCATAATTATTGTGCACCTGAAGAGCACAAGTCTCTTGCTGGCTTGCATTGTTGCAGGTCTGGAGTAACTCCACTGTAGACACCAGAGTTACAAGGGTGTCAAAATAGCGGGCAAAGAGACTCAGGCCTGGTAACTGCCAGCAGCGCCTCAAGCAGAGCCCAGATGCTTTGTGATGTTTGTACCTGGCCCTTAAAAGCATTCTTGCTTGTCCAGGGCCTGAGCTGTCTTGGAAAGCTGGACCTTTACACTCCCGCAGATATATACTTCTCTCTCCCAAAAGAATATCCAGAAACCCATTCTTTTGTAGAGAGTACAATTATGCAAATTATGCAAAATGCGTGCATATACCGGCATAATGTGAAACTGGTTAGTCACAAGCCTTTTCAGGGCTAAATCTGGATGTGAAGATTTGACACATGAAACCAAGCCAATGGCAGTCAACTAGCACAGCGGCGGATTCATTTGTGTGTTTCCCTCCCTGCCTCAGGATACCACTCATCTCATTTTCACACAGGGCCAGCGGGGTGTTTCAAGCTGCAGAACAAATCCTCACAATATTTTGCAGAAATATTCATGTAATTCTGCCCTAAAGCATTTCACCCACTAGAAAAAGATTCACAAGATGCCTGGCATCACTTCTGCATGAGTGAAAATTCAGCCCTACCCAGGATTCAGCTGTTGTCTGAATGCAAAGCTGAAAGCTGAACCCCAAGAGCAGAATTTGCAACACGAACACTGAACAGGCGAATGGTGAAGGGTCTGGAGTTCATTATGAATTGATTTTACGCCTAGAATTTGCTACCTCGCTCAACGGCACAGGTGCTTTCTGTTCAAGGGAAACCTAACTAGTAGGCTACCTGCAAAGGCTGGAAGGAAGCTTCTATCCCGGCCAACTCTGTGGGAGAACTTAGTCCTATGATACAGCCGGTTAAAGGCTATTAGTCCCTCACACAAAATAGGGTGTGATAAAAAAAATGCTAGCCTACTACAGCTCTACCTTCCAGACCCCCCCCCAGGAGGGCTGTGTCCTCCTACAGCGAATCCTTGGTACCATGCTCAGCAGTACAAGTGGCATGAAGGGGATGTTCAACAACAAGGACAGCCCTTTGGTAAAGTGTCTCACGTATCAAACTGCTATTCAGAGAGGCTCTTGTGACTAGAGGCTCTTCTTACTGAGTTTCTGCTAGGTCAAAGCCATTGATGGATTTGTAGGCGCCCTTCTCGTGGTCAGAGACCTCAGCTTGCTGGCTGGCTCAGGAAGAAAGAATATGAGGGTAAGTCCAGTGGTCTTTGCCCGGGCAAAACTCACACTAGTTACACTGTTCAACCGCTTAGCCCTACTGCTATTTGAACACTGGGATTCCTCTTCCGCAGGGTTCCCTAGGCCTATGCAAAATAAGTGCTCTGATGCCTCGAGCAGTGACATTTCACTGGAGACAATCACATAATAAGAGTACCATTAATAAGAGCAATTGTAGCATTATATAAAAGGAAGCCAGTTTCAACTCATTTAAGACCAGAACAATCTGCCTCATAAATGAAAACCACGCTATTAAACGTTTCCAATAGTGGACAAGCATTTGGGCCCAGGATGCCACCTTTGCCCCTTACCCTCCCAGGTGTCACCATGGAAATCAGCTTCTTTCCTGTCTGGCTCCACTCTCATTGCCATAAAAAAATATAACATAAACACATTGCACCGAAGCCCTCCAAAAGTAGTCAGATATGCTGTAATATGATGTGCCATGATATAGAGCGATGCACCAAATATCTGGGAAGGACAGATAGTGTGGTGGTTTGTAACGAGCTTGGTCACTGAATTAGTGTTGCCCCCTACTACTATAGTTGTTGCATGATATATTTTCTTTCTGTATAAAATCCTCTCCTGCTTATAGCTGTGCTGAAATGGGGAACAAGGGGGCTTTTCTTTTAAAATGATTTATGGTTTTGTGCAATTTTTGCTCCCAAGTCACTCACACTGAAAGCACAGACAAGGCCCCCAGCTGCGAGGTGACAGCTTTGTCTGGGTCCACAGGGCTTTGGTATTCATAGCTCCATAAAGTCGTCGCTGGAAACAACCTTGACGGTGATGTGACCCGGCATTTCGTCTGCTTCTCCGCCGCCTTTCCCTCGGAGCCGCAGAGTCTGCTGTTCTCTGGGGTCACTGGGCAATGCTGCCAGCAGCACTTGTCCAAGGAACTGGTCACACAAGATGTTGCTGTTCCAGACCTACAGACACAATTGTGAGGGAGAAGAAATAACTGGAGCCAAGACGCTGCTTTCCTTTCAAATACGGCCTGAGAGAGCCCTGGCAGGTGAGGGGCACCTGTATCAACCCTTTGGAACAGAAGGAAGGAAGGGTGTGTACTAAATGGGGCTCATTTCCTAGGGCCTGATGCCTGCTCTATACTATGCATATGCTATGCAAATAAATATGAATCTATGCGTCTATGAATCTATGAAAATAGAGGAATACACAAACTCATAATAATACTCACTAGGTTGCATCCTACCTAGAAAATGAATGAAAATGGGATAATTGGGTCCAGCAACAATAACAACCCGCACCTAATAAGATGCCATCTCCACCTCACAACCCCTCCTTGCCCCCGGATGGCTGCTTTATGCTTAACTAGTTATAGCCCCAGGGGAACTGCTCTTGCAGCTGGGTTTTGTCCATGCCTCCTTTGACCCACATATGTCTCCTTGGCAGCTCTACCTCACCACATGGGAGAATCCACCATTGCCAAGTACAAGCAGCTTTGAGGCTGGTTTGTGTTGCTAGAGAAGCACATAGTTCTCCTGGGGATGTGGATCTGGCTGGGAGTGCAAAGCCCCTGATTACTGAAGTAGTTGCCTGGTTTACTCTAATTGTTCTTGGTTGAGCTGGGAAAGTGAAAGGGGTTGAGTGGAGTGTTGTAGAAAGATAGGAGGCGTATTGCCTTGGTACCCACGGGTAATCAGAGTAAAACCTGCTTGTGATGATGCACAAACCTGCCCTTCTTGTCAGCTGTTTTTTCAGGTTACATTCACCCATGACTATATTCTGAGTTTTATGATGATAGCTCTTCTCTCATTTTTTTTTGCCCATGGGGGACCAAGGAGGTACCGTTCAGCTTAGGAATGCCAGGTGTCAAGACATGGCATCCCAAATCAATTCACTTTTCTTTCTCCCCTATAAAATGGGGGTAAAGATACTCTAGCACCCTTGTAAAATACTTTGAGGTCCACAAATGAAGATTGCCATGTAAGTCTTGGGTACCAATAATAGTTACTACATGGAGAGGAAGCACCATATTTATTTGAATACCACACATACCCGTTCCCATGAAAATTAGAAGTTGTATGCTGGGGTGTGGGTCTCAAAAGAAGAAAGGGATTTCTGAACAGCATTGATTAAAAGCATTTTTGATGTATGGCTAGGTAACCTTCTTCATGTACCATAATATCCAGTTGTCTTATCCTACATCCCTAATCTTGCTGAGTCAGTCTTATAGCATATGTGAATACATGCAACCATGATACGAACAAAGCAGTGTTATGCAATGTATTGCTTGTTCTATTAAATTACTTATTTTCAAGTCTTTTTTTCTGTATTCTGCCTTCCCAAAACAAAGTGTTTGCCTTATTCAGGAGCATGCAGTATACAAATAAATATGGTCTCTATACAAAGGTCAGTATAAACAGCTGAACTGCTCCAGCCAGTGCTGTCATGGAGAAGCAGTGATTCTCGCAGCCTGGGTATCAAACTAGTGAAGAAACAGTTAATGCTTGTCAGACCCTCATCCCATCAAAGTCAAATTTATTTAAAACCACCTGCTACTTTATGTCACTAAGATACAGGCAGATACCATGGAAGGAAGTGAGCTTTCCCCCCTCACATAATGTTCCTCTTTTTGCCGGCACTGCAGCACATGCAGACTCTCTTCCTTACCTGGACAGTAATGGGACAGTCCATGTTCTTTCTGTAGAAAACTGCTTGCATGTCAAAAATGGCATTGACAGTGTCTTGCTGGACAGCAGAGCGAACTTTCTGGTTCTCACATTTAATGATCAGGTAAGGGTCTGCTCCTGAAACAGTGAGAAAAATCTGTATTGGGACTTGGAGTGTCAATTTTCACTTGGAATAGCTGAGAAACTGTCCCAGACTCAGAGAGACAGAGGAGTGAGTCAGAGGGAACAAGGGTCTCCTGCCTGCAGAAGCAACCAGGCTTGGGACTTCAGTAGATGGTAAGTCAGAAGGCAAGTGAGCCCAGGCTTTGGGAAAACCCTGTCCTGTCACTGGCCCATAGCAAGAGGAGGTCACTCCCCACCCTGTGCTCCACCCTTGGAGACTAAATTCTTCCATCTTCAGAGCTTCTGGCTACTTCTGCCGAAAAATGTTTAGAAAATGACACCATAGATGACTCCTACTCAACTCATCTATGCAAGCAGCACCTCTCCAAGTTTCATAATGCCTGTATTGTATTATTGTATAAAAACTTTTTCCATGCTCGGAGGTGAACAAGTTCAGCCATGGCTGCCTTGAGAATTGAGGTGGTGGGAGGAAAAAGGTGCAATACTTTTCCTCTACACATCATCACTGAGTCTCAGCCTCAGTCTGAATAATGGAAATCTAGTATCTAAATGCCCACAAAGCAGGCCCAAAGGCTTGCACAGCAGTAGCATCATCCTCCCAAATTTGTGTTACGGCATTTGCGTTGCTACTCCCATGCTTGTAACACACCACTGGTCTGCTCACTGAGCCACACTGGCTGGATGGACGGGAGGGCAGGGAAATGCTAAACAGAGGAAGGAGAAAACAGGATCTAAAGGTTTCCAAAGCATGATAAGAGTTTGGTCCAAAGTCCCGAGAGAAGGTCTGATGAGTCAGTGTATTGCTCATTCCTCAATAATCAAGAGAGAGGGCTCACTTGAAGGAGTCACATGAGTTTTGGGAGTAGTAAAAAGTCCCAGCTTGCTCATGCTTTCTCTCTTGTCTAAGTGCAAGGCCAGCCTGCAAGGGTTCAGATCAGCAGCTAGTTAATGGAGACCAAGAGCCATTTTTAACCTAGTGAGAATCCTAGCTATGCCATTCTAGCTGCCACCACGACAGCTTCCCTGCTCTCCCCGATTGCCACTCTGGTCCCCTTCCTCTGCCCAATCTGCTGCTCTGCTTTCTCCTTCCTGCCCTATCTCCTACTGTGCTGCCTGTCCCCTCCCCTATCCACTGCCTTCCACACATACAGGATGCTCATGCCACTTGCAGCATGTGTGCTAACACACGTTGGCCACCTCTGCCCTACCATACTTACACAACTGACAAATGATCTTTTTGTCAGCTTGCCACAGAGATCAAGTTGTATGAAAAGATAGGACTGCGGCCAAGACCAAAAAGCAGACAAAAAGGATCCCAGGTGGAAAAGCAGAGTCTTAATGGGGCATTTCACAGCCATGATGTTCCCCTTTGTTGTGTCATTGTGTGCTCACTGTGCAGAAGGACCAGGGGAGAGGTGCAAGGGGCAGGGAATCATTATGCTACTGTGGCCTCACCTGCCAGGTCCTGCCCGCCTGCAGGCAAAGGCTGCATATAAAGTAACTAATAGCAAGTACTCAAATAATAGCATGTGAATGAGAATAAGATACAGAGATGTTTTTATTGTCAAAGAGAGTGATGTTCTCCTTCTGTCCCCTGCAACAAGAAGCATGGTCGCTATGGTCTTCACCTTGCATCATGAAGGAGAACTCTCCTGCTCCCCACCCCTTTGAATGCCTAGAAAAAGTCCTTCCCTTTGCCTTTCACCATAAAGCAGGAGCCCATTTGTCATCCTGCACTGCTTAAAAGAGTATTTGCAAAATGAATGGACTGGCACTGCTATTATTAGGAAGCCTGGGGAAGTTCAAAGTAAATCAAAGGTGATTTATACTTGGCCATCTATATGAAGAACAGCTTTGCTAACCTTACAGCTCCATTAAATAAAAGGATACAGTGCCCACATTCTCAACCTTCATCTCTGCATAAGAGCTAGGCATGCACCCAGTGCTCATCAAAAGAAGAAAAATATTATTAATGTCATTTTTACAGATGGGAAACAGAGAGCACAGAGGCAAAGCAACTAACCCTTCCGCCAAAGCCACAAGCAAAGAGTGATAGAGCTGAGAAAAGAAGCAATGCCTCCTGATTTCTAGTCTAATACATCCACGAGGCCACAATGCCTCATCCCCTCCTGGTTTGGCATGTCCCTGCCTCACCTCTTCTAGGCATCTTTCTGGTTCATGCAACAGTCTTTAAAATGAAACCATGAGCCTTCTCATCAATCCTCTAGCTACTGACGCCAAAGTCTGTGTTTGAGCATAAAATTACATGCTGAACTTCATATGTCGGGTTTAAATAGCTGGGCAGAAGGGTTCAGCATCTTACAATTCCCACTGAAGGCCACAGGAGGAGTGCTCAGAAACTCTAAAATTTAGACCACTTTGCTTCACATCACCAACTACAGAGAGGCCCAGCCCAGGCCTTGGAGCATGAGGCTGCTGGCCTGCATCCTCTGTGGTAGAAGTTCAAGGTCTAGTACAATGAGTCCCAAAGGAAACAGTTTTATATCAGAAGATACAGTTTTGCCAACCCTAAAACCCTGATAGGAATGTGTCAGTCTTGATGACACTTTCTATGGGAAAGCATCAAGGAAATGTTGTTTTGGCTTTCCCATTTCATTCTGATAATGTTAAAATACTGGATCTCAGAAAGGTAAAACATCTTCTAGTGAGGTCAGCACTTTGATTCATCTCAATCTGAAGATTATATTATAGTGTTGACAATATATTAATAGGGCATATTTAATATTGCCTGCCTACTTTGACATAATCTAGATGAACTATTTTGACATAATTTAAAATATTCCCTTTTATAGAAATGCATGGTTTTGTCATTTCCAAACCAAATTGTTTTCAGAGCTGACTTTCCATGGTAGGTTTTGTAATTTTGACTTTTTGTTTTAATTGGTCCCAAAAACAAAATCTTGAAACATCAGAATTTCCCCTGGAATGGGACAGCTATTTTCTGATTGCCTCAAATTAGGACCCAGGCATTATATTACTTTTCCATTTCAACATATGCATTGTATAGGTTTCCTTCTGGGATCACACTACTGGATCCAATTTTTAATGAAGGCATATCTAGCAAAGGCAAATATCTATTTGCCAGACTTCCTCCTTCCCACATAAAATGCTTTCACCTTATCCACTGATTCTTGATGATTATCCTTTTATAAGCAACTTCTCATCATCTTTATTAAACGGTGTCTCATCATCTTTATTCAACGGTGTCTCTTCTGGAATAAGGCCTGTCTGGATGTTGATATTTTTCTGCCCCACAAACGGTTGTTTGCTGGGCTTTGCTCAAAGAGCTGGACATATGAATGTCATTTTCTTTTAGCCACAGATTTCAGTGACTGTTACTATTTAATAATTGATTATCACATATGATTTCCCTAGTATATATCCACCTGGTCCAAGAACAAATGCCAACATCTCACATAAGCAAGCCAGAAAATGGCTGCTTCTGAAACAGAAAGATCCAGTGTGACTTAAGAAAGAGGACCAGGCTTTCATATATCTGTATTCTGAGTAAACCTGGCTATCACTGTAATAGGGCTGTTGCCCTGACAACATATTACACTTACTGCAGAAGGGAGCAGTTTATTGGCTACTTTAGCAAATGATTATTTTGGTGTCACTAAATATATTGATTTTGCCTGTGGGATACGGAGTTACATCAGGCTGTGCTACAAGCAACAGAAAAACCCACCCCTTTGCAAAGAGCTCTTGAAAATGGACTGGATCCAAGTCAGAGGGGGTCTTTTACAAAACACTGGCACGTACTGCAGCCTTACGCAAACACCAGAGCAAGACTGCAAAGCAGATTGTTCAGAGCAAGCGCGAGGTGCAAAGAGACAGAGAGAAACACACCAAATTCTCAGTTAATGGGCATCTCTGCCCGGGCACAGAGAGCTGTTAACCAAGATAATTTATTGAGCAAAAGAAGCAGGAAAGCTAGCACGTGCAAGAAACTAAATAAACCTGTGTGCATGCTGCAGAAATCAAGAATAAGTAATTAAAAAAAAAAAAAAAAAGGATGAAAGGTGCCAGTGCAGCCACGTTCAAGGTTGAGATGCCAAATTCTTGACTTCATCAGGAAACACAATAAGAACATAAGAAGTACCCACGTAGGCCAGGGCCCCGTGTCTCAGTGTCTCACAGTGTCAGAGGATGGGTGCTAAGGGGAAGAGCACTTATGCAGGGCTGATCCAGACTGATCTGCAGTTTCCAGAAGAAAAATGATTCAAAAGAGATATGATGCCCAAAGATACGTGACAAGACAAGATGCTTTCCCTAAAGCTTTAAAGGGTCTGACTGTGCTCTCCCTTTCCCCTGGTTTGTTTATACCTGTGCATCATAAGTGCACAAGTTAACCCTACTGAAATGGCAGCATTATCACACCCACTTTACGCAGGTGTCGGTAACCACAGAAGATGCAAGGCGGTGGAGGGGGACTCAGAGACCCATTCCTCTGGCAGTTCAGGCTTGAAAGTCGCACCTGCAGAGCAACCCCAGTCACGCTTCCATGACTGATGCCTCATCACAGAGAGGACATGTCAAATCCAGGAAAGGATAATGTCAGGGGGGAAATGAAGCTGCAATCTAATATGAAAGCAACTACACCAAGAGAGGAGATGCTCGCCGCAGTCTCTTTATGACTTTGTCAAGAGGTTGGATAAGAATCAGTTGAAAAGTGTGATCAGGTCATTGCTTCTTGGGGATCTCCTCTGAGAAATCAGCAGTCATATTCTTTGCTGTTGTACACACCAACAGAAGCTTTCTGCGTGGCATGGAAATGGGTTCTGACATTGCTCAGTCAGGTAAAGCTGGACCAACTAAAAACCGGGCAAAGCCGGGGAGACATGTCACTTTGTGCTTCACAAATGAAATGCCTCTGGGCTTGCAGTTGCTTAGATTGCTCTTTGCAACAATGCCGGCTTTGTTCTGTGTTTGACCAACCCACACCTGGTTCGGGGGTGAGATGGGCAGCCACCACTGCAACGTAAGCAATACGTAGGTAGAGGACAGTGCCCAGAAGGGTGTTAGCCGCTTGGCAAGGAGGCCATGTTCTGGAACTGGCTCTCAATGCCTCCCTGGGAAATGTTTTCTCTCTCTTCTCCCCTCACCAGAGGCATTTCTTGCACCTTCGCTCTTTCTGTTCATCACATCACTGTTAGGGAGAGGCATTTAAAATACTGGGTTAGAAAAAGAGGGAGCTGTTAAAGACAAGACTGAAACTTGTGAATCCCATATGGTGCTTCACTGAAAACATGTCAAAGCATGGAGGCTTATTTGCTCTGAGAAATCAGCTGTGATAAAATGACCCTGACACAGTAGCTGGGACAATTTTACAGACGGACTTGGGAAACCAGAGGGGAAGGAAGGGGGAAGAAGCCAAACAGCTCCTCTTCATCCCCTTGCAAATCTGCCACCATAATTGGCTTGGAGATTAGTTGGCTACATCTCAGCACAAGTTTACTCAAACACTGCATGCTTCCAAAAGGAGCAGCAAATATGCAGATGCATCTGGTTGCTGAATGGCCAGACTCAGTGGTTAACCTCATCAGCTGCAGAAGATCAGTCACTTTTCTGGACAGGACAGCTCATCTGCAGCAGCAGCAAGCAGAGCCATTAGAGCAAATGTCTTTAAAACAAACAAAGCAGCCTTCCTCTGGCAGGAGGTAACATTTGGAGGATAACTAAATCATGAAGAAAGCCACAGAGCAAACATGCTATGGATAAAGCTCTACTCTGCTTCAGTTTTTGAGTACCTTTCTCAGAAATATGTCTTTGACTCTCAGATATTAGAGACAGGCTTGATGCAGTGAACTTTACATCCAAATCTAACCTCCCCCCCCTCAAATTTAAGGAGGTTTAAAACAGGTGTTTCAGTGACAGCACTGTGGGAACTAGTCCTATCCATGACTGCTTATCCCAAGCGAGGATTTAGGGAGACCCCCCATGATAACATTATGGAGTATGAATTTGGCTAGAAATTGTGAGAGCTGGAGAGAAGTACAGCAACCTCTGTGTGTTCAGAAGACTCTCATTGACATTCATTACCACCCATACCGTCGCTCCACCCCAAAGGACCCTAAAACTGGCTTATACAAAACCAACAGCTGATATTTTCAGCCTACGTGTAGCATATGGAAGTAGAGGGCGGGTGAGGAAGAAGGTGGCTAGGGACACTACAAAGGAGAGAATGAAAAGCCCTCAACCTGAGTTAATAAGCATTAACAAAAAGTAATGGGTAAAAACAGGAACAGAAGAAAGTCATTGTGAAAGGCAAGGTCTCAATGATCAGGAAAAGTAAAGTAATCTGTGTATAAGGAGGAACCAACCTTTAACAACATTTAGGGCATAAACAGGCTTCCTCTGAGCACCGGGCATGCACGTCCACTTATTTTCCTCTTAATCGTACTGAGTATGCCTAATGCTAGGGAAAACCCTCACTTATCATTCCTCGTTGCCGCTTTCCTTTGCTGTCCCCTAGTATTGATCAGTGAGAAAGCTGTTATGGCTTACTGCCTTTGAAGCAAAATCCATACCGTTATGCTCCAGGACCAATGGGGAAAGTTAAGGATTGTGGACGATGATCCAAAGGACTGCAGCCCACAGTGGACTCCTCCCACGAGAAAGCACTAAGAAACCCGGTCTTTCCAAATGCCCAACACCTACTTCTCTCTGGGGGCAGTACGAAAGACTGATTCCTTGGTTTGCTTGTTGAACGGAAATATAAAAATGGATATATATTTGAAATGTTTGAAAACACTTGAAATGTCAACTTGAAACAAACTGTTGTTGTTGTTTTCTGGCAAAGTGAATAACCAAAAAAAGAAAAAAGGGTATTTCAAGTTCACGAAAGAGTTGTGTTTCATTTGGGTTTTTACCCATTCACGTAAGTAAATTTGGCAAAGTTCAAAATGGCCCATTGTTTCACTTAATAAAAATCAGCATGTTTAGTTAAAAAACGTCTAACTGAACAGGTTTTGTTTTCAATTTTTTTTCCTGTTTTTCTCCAGTCAAGACATTTGATGAATTTGGAATATATCTGCAAATAGATTCAGTTATCCCTAATCTGCATTTTTTTAGTGGAAGAAATATTTGATTAGAAAATGTTGCCCAGCTCTCCATAATACATATCCCTATAGGTTCCTTACACTTTTTAATGTTTTTCTTGTTCAATAAATATAAATTACCTGTTCTTCAAAGTAAGCCCCCATCCCAGAACTAGTTGCTGCTAGCCTTAAAATCAAAACAGAGAAAGATACGACTCAGACCATGAACCACAGATTTTGTAGATAGTTCCTATTAGTTGCTGAGTGCAAGTCCCTCTTGTACGTTACTGACAGTGTCACAATGCAACAAATCACATTTTGCTTCCTGAGCTGAAGCCTATATTTTGGCAGCTCCAGGAGTTAGTTTTAATAATCTTGCCAACACTGTAACTGTGTTAGGAATTACAAAATGGTAGAAACCAATTCCCTTTCCCTCTTGCTTTACTTCAGGGAACACTGGAAGAAAATGATTAAAGAATCTGAAAACAGGTGGGAACAAATCCCCTAAAACCAACAGTAGTTTCTGAGGGAATGAACAAGACTTTTTTTTAAATCACTGTTTTTTACTGTTCTTGTCATCATATCTCCCTTTGGTCTTCTCTATCCATCCAGCCAGTCTGCCTGTCTCTCCAAAACAAGGCTACTTGTACTTCTGAAGTTTAATCACGCAAAATGTCATTACAGCTGTGCAAGAAAAAACCAGGAAAAACCAAGTAAGGCAATTTCCTAGCCCCCCCCTTTCCTTGTCCCCTGAAAAGACAAAACGGTTAGCACGAATGGTTAGCAAGAAGTGCACTGTGTCATAAGGGAAGTCACTAATGGTTTGTGTAAGAGGACGGGGACAGAATTCTATGCAGCAACCTGCTCGTGATCAGAAGGTTAGGAATGAGATTCAACATGGATCTCACTGACATTCATTACTGCCGACTCTTCTTGACCCTCTGGGATACCAGAACCCCCTTTACAAAACCAGCAGCTAGTGTCTTCAGTGGTACAACACACCACGTAGGTCAGGGGTGGCAACGTTTTTTGGCTGGAGTACTGAAAAACCCACAATGTCTACCTTGGAAGGTGCCGGAGTGCAGCAGACATGCCAGAGCGTGGAGCACGTGTTTGCAGCCTCCTGGCTGCAGCCGGCCCACGGAGCCCAGTCTGCTTGCAGCAGGGCTTGCAGCCTCCTAGCTGCCTGTTAGGAGCAGCCTGGGCTCTGTGGCTGGCAGCAGCTGCTTGGAGCCTAGGCTGGTGGCGGTGTGCCGAGCAAAATGCCCTTGCACGCCATGCTCAGCACACGTGCCGGGGGTTGCTGACCCCTGATGTAGGTTATGGCCATTGTGGGGGTGGGGTAAGGATGGAGAAGGCTGGGTTTAGGAGTCTTGTTCTGCAGCTCTCCTACAAGTCAGACTGTAATTACTGCTTCACTTTAAGGGGTTACAGCAAGTGAGCTTCTAATCCCAAACCAACCAAATCTGAAGTGTTCTCTGGAGCAAATGCATCCTAAAAGCAATTGTTTCAGTAGCTGTATTGGTTTCCTGGTCTTTCTCCCTACCAACTACTTAGTGCTAGTTGCCTCTGCTTGTTTCTCCTTTGATGATCATGGGCAGGAACTTAGTTTAGCTGTACCAGATGGAGGAGGATGCAGAAGGTACAGGGCAAAGGATGGAGGTGGGACAAGTCAATAAATTAGCACTCAGTGTCACGCACCACTCAGCTTCAAGACTGTTTCCTTGATACACACAGACATACAACAGCTGATGCCATACAAGTCCTGTGCCTCGGTGTACCAGCCCAAAATGGTTGTAATCTTACAGTAATTGCTTCACAGACATATTAAAAGTGAGTGAAGTGCTTTCAAGTCCTTGGCTGAACTGTAGCTAGGTAGGTGTTCAGTGTCACACACCCCATTACAGGGAGCCCTTCCTAATGACCTCTCAGTGGACATTTTTCATTGACAGAATGGACAACCCTGAATGGAGGAAGGGATGTAAGCTGAAGCCGTTACTGTGACTTTCTGGCTAATCCCCACCACACAGTTATCAAAAGTGACCGCCTATTATTCACCATCTGGGCCATCACAGCTCTTGTTTTGTGCTGCCTCCTTAACCCTGGTTCTTCTTTTGTCCATATAAAAGCCTATTCCAGTACAACAGGGCTCCAGAAAAAAATAATACAGTCTCCCCAGACAGAATCTGCTAAGGTTTAAATTTTCAGTTCCTTAGAATAATTTGTGATCATTTGCATATCAAATCAGCAGGGCTTTGCAGAAGCGTTAGCAGCCAACAATTCCTACTTCTCTAGAGACAGTCTCATCACTTACCACCATATCTGTCTTGCTTTTGTAGGCCCTCCACAGAGTGAACTTTAATTTGGGTGACTCTGCGAGGGTAACCACATAAGAGGCTCCAGCATGTCCATGTAGGCTTATCTGACTTCAGCTCTCTGAAAGAACAAGGTTATGCAATTTAGATAGGGGTAAAGCTTTGGTGTTGAAAGCAAAATAGCAGAATGGTGAATGTTGGCCTTCCCAAAACATCTACATTTGCTGTTCTTTTCCTGTATGTCACCTGGGGTGGTTTGTGTTTACAGGAACACCCCAGCCTAACACGAACAGAAACAGTTATAGCATCTTTTGCATGGCAGCTGCATGTGGAGAACAAATTTTCAAGACATCAAAAGCTTGAGAGAGTCCAGAGAAGAGCCACGTGCATGATCAGAGGTCAGGAAAACAGACCTTGCAACGACGGGCTGAGAGCAATGGGGCTCTTTAGCCTGGAAAAGCGCAGGCTCAGGGGTGATCTGATGGCCACCTATAAGTTTATCGGGGTGCTCACCAGGATCCGGGGGAACTTTTGCTCACCAGAGCGCCCCAAGGGATGACGAGGTCGAACTGTCAGAAACTACTGCGAGACCGTTTCAGGTTGGACATAAAGAAGAATTTCTTTACTGTCCGAGCCCCCAAGGTCTGGAACAGCCTGCCATCGGAGGTGGCTCAAGCACCTACACTGAACACCTTCAAGAGCAAATTGGATGCTTATCTTGCTGGGATCCTATGACCCCAGCTGACTTCCTGCCCTTTGGGCAGGGGGCTGGACTTGATGATCTTCCAAGGTCCCTTCCAGCCCTAATGTCTATGAAATCTATGAAAAATAATATCAAAGCAAAACAAAGATATAATGGACCTAAGTTTATTTATACACTGGTTTATTTCAACTGAGTTATTCCAGATCTATGCTGAGGTAAATGACAGACGAGCCAAATCCAACTACTGTAAAAGGCTCAGTCTAGTTGACTTTGGGGAAGCGTGTGGTTTGGCCTAAGACACTGGTAATGGGGTTGGGCTCTTTCCACCTCAAGATCCCCACATTCAAAGCCACTCAGTTGGTAATTATGCTGTCGGATGGCTTATCAGTGGGAAATAAATTTGGTGATCTGTTGTGCCTCAAATTAAAGACAAGTCATCACCAGCATATATTACCACTCATCTTAAAAATGTCACAGTAAGGAGGTTGTTGGCTGTAGAGAGGTCAAAGATAGAATGGGCCACGGAAATACTTAATTTGTCAACCCCTGGCATTGAAGTGGTCTTCTCAAAACCAGGACATTGTGGAGGAAGCTGTCTCCACTTTGCTATTTCCATGTGCTTCGTGAAATATACCTATCCTGAGACTGGTTTAAGGGCTCCTACTTATTACAGAGACCTTATCACATTCTCCTGGTTTGCAGATGAAAATATTTGTGGGTACGACTGACATCATTGACATATCCACTGTTCTGAGTTGTGGGAACAAGCTGACAGATCAGGAAATGATATCGACTCCTACCCCCAGAAATATTAGCACCCCAAAACTGTACCTTTACAGTAGGAGGATTGAACAGGGAATTAGAATGGCCAATCTTGGCTGCCTGCTCTTAGGTACCTAAATAATAGTGGTCTGATTTCCAGAGGTGGTGAGTATCCACAACTCCTAGTGAAGCAAAAGGGGATGAGAGCATTGAAAATCCCAGGAGACTAATTTTGATCAAGTTGTCAAGAAGAAACACATATCTGCCTTACAGGCAAGTGGTATATTGAGGGTAACCACTTCTGTGGGGTAGAACAGGAGGAAGCGGATGAAGAGTCCAGTTGTATAAAATACAAGGTACCTAAGTTTTGATGGTTCATCTGTAAAGAGCCTCAAAATGAACTGAGAAACAACACCAGGAAGGAACGTTGTTGGAATGAGGACATAGCGGCCTTTCTGAAGGAGCTTCTTTAGGAACACGGTGCGTGTGTTGATGTACATGGATGTTGCCACTCTCTCTTGTATTGTCAGCTTGTGGATTCGGTATTCTCTGTTGTCCTCCACCTATAATCACACAGAACGAGAGATATTGGATGCTTGTTTTGGATGCACGCTCTTTAGTACGCTGCTTGGTCCTGGTTTCTGGTGATAAGTGAATACTTTTACAGTGACGTGAAATCACAAAAGAGGAAAATCAGTTTTTGGAGCTGGTTAAAGATTCTAAGGTAGGATGGTTCAGACAACCATCACCAAAATGGACAGACCACATTTTCAAAAGACTGAAGTTAAAATACATGGCATAAATTTAGAGCATGTCATTCAAAGGTCTCACAGTCCATTGCAAGGATTAAGCATCTTATGCCCATAAGAGAGATGGGGAAAATGAACAGCAGTCAGGAAAAAGTGACTTGCCCCAGGTCAAACAACAAGGGAGTAGCAGAAAGCTAGCCACCCAGTCCAGTGCTCTGAACCCAGTGCCTCCAAAATAATGTGTGGGGAAGATATTTTGTGGACATAATGTCATGTATGTCATGCATGTGTCCAACTGTAAGTGTCATATAGTGAAGCTGCTTTATTTTCAAAGGTACAATTGCAAGGAAATCAATAAGAGCATACATCAACAGGTGCAGGTGCAAAACTGGAGCTGTAGAACTGTAAGATTAGCAGAAGGATTACCTGGGCACTCATGCACATCTGTGTGCGCTTAGCGGCACTGCATGCTTGTGTAAGCAGTGTGCCAAAAACACCCACAACCTCAACTTGAGATGTTGGCGTGCCAGACGGATGGCAGGGATGCTGCAAGGGGCTCAATTCTTGTTGTGGCAGCATAGCCCTAGCCCCTTCCCCAAGACACGTGTGCCAAACCAAATGCCTTTGCATGTCACACTCTGGCACATGTGCCAGGGGTTGCCTACTCCTGCTTTCTACAATATCATTTAGATATACATATACTCCTCCAGCTACTCGGATCCCAAAGATAGAAATTTCTTTAAAAATATAACTCTCTTTGCTTCAGTCAAGCAGACTTTGGCCTGTTTACCTTCACATCCAGTTAATTAGTGCATCTGATTGAACATTTCCGAACTAGTTTACTGCCCAACAGGGGAAGGATTGAAATACTTCTTGAAAACGTATTCTACTTTTCAATTCTCTTCACTAAATGCATTTATTAAATAGGCATGGAGACGGAACAGATGAAACATTTTCTGTAAGGATGAATGATTTCATGGTACCTCTAATAGATGTTGTTAATGTAAAATGATCAAATTTACATGCGCTGAATGGGAATGCTGATTTGCTATATACGGCTCAATCACATTTTGTACTGATCTTTGTGCTAGGGACTAGGTTTATGCCGTGTCAAGCTGACTTATGACTCCCACAGTAATAGAAATAACAAAATACTGCTGGACAATGGACATCCTTATAACCTTTCTAATTACTGAAAAAAATCTAATGGTAGAAAAGAAAATTCACATGCACTGCAGTTCTGGTAAACTCTCTTGCAAATGCCATGGTATGCTATGTTTACTCTCCACTTCCAGGAGGCTAACTTTCTAACAAGAAAAATGTTTTTTTCCTCCCTAAATAAAGCAACTGCATTTTTTAAGAAAGTCATTTTTTGACAAAATCGGAAACAACAATTTATCTGCTTTGACTTCCCCCCCATTCTTCTCTTACTTGTTTCATTTGTTTTCTTCCTTCTTTGGGCCCCCTTTATTCTTTTTTTATTTTAGTGCTGAATGCAGTAGAGCAAATGATATTCTAGACTTGTCTTCCTTTTTTCCTGCCTGTTATTTTTCTTTCTATTGCCCTGTTGCTTTTGAAAACTGTCTCAACTTTTCGGAGCAGCAAAAAGGAAAAAAGAAAAAAAAAGAAAACAATTTGGACTCTATTTGGTCAGCTTGTAATGCATCTATTAGGAGATCAACTGTTATCCTATTCCGGTCAGCTTAAGCCCCTGAAAAACCATTAATAAAAAAGGTGTGCAGGTCCTCCTCTTTTAGACTGCTGCTTTTGTGCCTTAGTTTGAGGGCTAAAACGATAACAGTGGATTCATTAATGGATTTACAGGGACTCGAGGTGGAACAGGATCTGCCTTTGTTCATTCCACTGCATTCATCAGCCAATATGAAAACAGAAGACAGAAAAGGGAAAGGGAAAGATTAAAAAAATAATTTCAAATCTCCCAGATCTCCCACCATTTCCAATATTTGTTTTGGTGAAATGTAGAAAAACATCTCATTCCAAAACCTGCAAAATGAAAATTATTTTAAAAATTCTGTAATTTTAAAAAAAATGTCCCAACCACCACTAGCATTTTGTGAACTGCCTCATAATACGATCATCATAAATGTCATGCTGGAGACTGCCAATAGATGGCATGGCAGTGTACTGGCTTAATGGGCATGTTCATGTCTCCAAGTGGCTTGTTAGATCCCACTGAGTGAAATATGCACCTGCCTTCCCAGTATCCCAGAGCTGAGATGAAGCTGCATTTGGGAGCAGGATTCCTGAAACCCCACCAGATCTGAATGAACATGCAGGTGGCTGCCTACCTTGAAGATTTCAAAGCCAGTTGGGAAGTTGTCCCCTTTCCCATCCTTCTTGTACATGCGCCGGTCCTGTTGCTGCAGTGAGATCAGCACTTTGTCCTCAGCTTTCTTGATATCGAAGACATACTAGCAAGGGCGAGAGGGGAAGAGACACAGGACAGAGAACAACCTGTTAGGAACATGACCTCTTCCAAACTGCATGTAAGGCATTACTAAGGAAGACTAGATATGGAAACAGGGTTGTCCACAGATCGAGGGGTTTATATCGAGGATGCATCCTGTGAAAGGCCTAGTGAGAACTTAATTATAACGGTAGGAATTTTGAAACTGATAGTGTCACAGATCATGAAGCCAGGGAATCATCTAAGCAGCATCCAGTAGCCGTTGATGTACAATGAGAGCTGATGTCCTCTGAAAGCAAAAATAAAAAAGCTGAAAAAAGGAAAAGAGATAAGAATAAAAATGAAACAAATGTCATGCTGGGTCTCTGTTTATTTGGACCTGTTTTTTTCCAGGTATTTTTATGTGAATTGTGACCTGCAAATGAAGAAAGGGTTTCTGTTTTATGAAGTAAATAGAAAGCCTGAAAAGGGTTTTGGCTCCACATCCCACTTAGTCTTCCAATGTCAGAAATCCTATTTTGGTCTGTCCTGGATTTGTGAGAGAGCTTTGGAAGAGCCAGAGAAATGAAGCAAGAGGGAATTTTTCATCTTTAACCAAGTCGTCCTTTATCACAACCATTTAATGGGCATTTGAGTAGAACTGGTGTTAATAAGACCAAACAAAACTTGAAAGCATTTTATATAGCATTTATAAAGGGATTTCCCCTCTCAACGAATCAGACTTTGGTTGCTTTTTACTCAAGCTGTCACTATTATCCCAGTTCACTAGCGACTCAGAGCCTTCAGAGAAAGCAGGGCAGACAAGGCCAGCATTTCTAATTCATAAAGATCAGAGTACTTTTTATACCATAAAGCATCCAAAGGTGCAAAGCTGCCATTCTTTTCCCCTTCAGAAACTTCTTTAAGTTCCATTTTTTTCTTGCTCTTGCAACTAACGGACAAAATGAAGTTGCAGGACATTGGCGGAAAGGGAAAATGGCACCACATCATGTTAAGCTCAGGCAGATTTTATGTCCTCCAACCCCCTCAAAACCTTTGAGTGTGGAGCTAATGAAAAACAGCAGCAAATTCTCAGTGGAGGCCAGCTGTGTGCTGGGCTCACCATGTTTCATGTTTTAAGCAGACTGCTAGAAGACTTGAACTAGTATTGCGGGAAACACAACCTCTGGGATGGTTAGTATTCTCCCACCAGGGGCTGCTGATGAGCCCTGCTTGCTGAGCGGGCCACGAGATGACCTCTGCTGCAATCGTGCCACCTTGTCCTGCGATGGCTCCCTCCCTCCCTCCCTTCACTCCTTACCCACGTGCTCCAGGGCAGCATCACTTAAACTGTGATGAAATACCAATCTCTTGTGGCGGAGGCTCGAGCACAGCTGCCTCGAGAAAATCAATTCCTTCCCAGGCCCCTAAATATTCTTTCCTTCCGTTTTGGCTGTTTTCACTCAGGAATCAACATTTATATGGATGATGTGATGGCCCTGGCTCTCAAAGGGACCCAGCTAGTCTGCGGAGTTGCTTTTTACACAGCGGTGAAGCATCTGTCAATCTTCACTGAGAAATAAGTTCATTCCCAGGTCAGGAATCTCAATACTTCCCAAGATTATTTGATCAAGTGAACAAAGCCCAGGTTCCTGTGTGTGGCTGCTACCTGGCTTTCTGTGAGGGCTGTGTCTTGGATGTTGTGTGATGTCAATATTGGGATAAAAAGCACAGGGACTGATGAGAGGGCTTACTTCTAGAATATCCCAAAAAACACCTTGTCCCCAAGGAGGGACAATATTCAAGATAAAGATATCTAGAGACAGAATAGGGAGAGGAAAACACATAGCTGCATCCACATCAATGAGTTATGCCACACAATGTTGGTAAATCATATGATCAAGTACCACATTTGTGGTATGTGCAGTGATTGTGCAGAATTGAAACCCTGAGCGCTCAGGAGTGTCTCCCTGCGATTGTGGGCACCACTGGTTTGCAAACACTTCCACTACGCCAATAACCAAGACGTTAGCAAGCGAGAACGAGCAGCTGGCTGTGGGCCGGCGTGTGTATTCTGGGCTATCAAAATACTTGAATTCTCTGATTTTGTAGGGGGAGTGGAGTGCTTACCAACCCTACTGAAATATATTTACTTCCCAGGATGCCTCAGAATTAGACAGCTCCCTCCGGGAGGATAGCAACTGTAATAATCTCTAAACTACTGTAGCATGTGCCAGCGGGACACGGTAATTTAATTTTGCCTTAAGCTAATATAAAGCTATCCCAGCACTGCTGTTAGCAACCTTTTAGTCAACCAGCCTAGAGACAGAGCCTTAATAAAAGAGCTCTTTTCACTGCATCTGGCACGACTCTCAACTAAACATTAGGACCTCTTTCTTTCTTTTTAGCCGCTAAACACATAAAAATTAGACCTGCACAAACACTGGGAAAATACCCAGAATCCTAATGAGGAGCAGCCAGCCTTGTTAACTGAACAAATTCACAGGAGCACGAGTCCTGTTCAAGAAAGACGTTTATCACTGACAGAGGAGTAAAGATATGCTTCTCTGCCTGAATGAAAGGACAAACCAGGAATTACAGATGATTCCTAGCCTGAGCTGTGAAGATTGCAGTTCTGTGCTCACCTGCTACGAAAATGGGGGGAGTGCTGGTAGACGCGGCACACCTAAGTGGAAAGAAGGAGGCACAAAAACCCTTTCAGCAAGGGGGAAGATGCAACAAATGGAAAAGTCAATTTTTGAAGTAATACAGTGAACATTATACGCCAAGCTCCTGTTGACAGTAATGGAAGCTTTGTGTCTGATGCTGCCTGCCCTGGCGCTGAAAACGTCTAACAGAGAGAGCTGCAGAGCGAGGAGGTGCGGTAGAGAGCGAGCGAGCAGGGCTGGAGATAGAACCTGCCCAATACGGAGCTCATTCTCAGCTGCATGGTTCAGGTTCAGAAGAGCCAAAAATGAGCCCTGGACAAATCCTTAAAAAGTTCGAAAAGGTACTGAAGAGGCTGCAGAAGCACAAAGGCTGTTTCTACAGTGAAACAATAAAAATGCTTTGATCGGAAATACCCAACAAGTTTCCATTCAGGAGCCACTGTTCATAGCAACTATTCCCCACTTGGCACTGCACAACGTGGCAAGATTCAGTCAGTGTAAATAGGTTCCCACCTGGGGGTTTTGTAGGAAGGTGGCTTGGTTATCGAAGCATCCTCCGGAGCGGTTTAGCAACGGTTCTGAATTCTTTGTCCAAGCCCCACGCACCATTCTCTTTTTCCAGGTCTTGTGGATACTAAAGCAGGAAGTGTTCATAATCCGGCACACGTCAACATCCGTGAAGTTCTTGCACCAGTCCTCAAATGTCATCCTGAGCCAGGGTTCACAAGCAAAGTAAGGTTAGTAAAACACAGTGAGTGTAAAATCATACAGTTTGTGGCAACACAACTCACGGCAGCTTCACGCAGCTCAAACGAGGCACTGCTTTGCCTTGACCTTTACCCATGAACTATCTGATTCACCAGAAACCCTTCCAAATAAAAGGCCCACAAGAAAATCGGAGTATAACATAGGCAAAGAGCAACTCAGTGTGTTCATCTAGTTCCTAAATGTGTTTCAGTCTAGAACTGGATCCTAAAATGCAGGTTATAACTACAGGGTTGCTGTTGGTACCACTGGCCTGGCAAAGGGAGATTGGAATTTCTATATTTGCAACACAGAAACAACCAGTTCTGGTCACCCTCTTATAACACTTTGGTCTCCATACACGGGCTACTTAATATTAACATCCACGGTGAGCAGCTGATTGGCCACGGAGGAGCAGTCTGGCCTGCCACACAAGAGATCATGCTCTGCATTTAACTCCTTATTCTTAGTTCTGACAAAACTCAGCATGCTGCAATGGTGCACTGAAACTTGGCACATGAGAAGGTTTTTTTCACAGTAACCCCTACCCTATGACTGGGGTGATATATTGGTAGGTTAGTAGAAAAGTCAGTAAATTCCTTCTGAACTTTGTGGACTTTTGTGACGGAAATAACATGGTGGGCCTCGTGGGTCTGGCGCTTAAGCAAAGGAAACTGTCCGAGCTCCAGTGGGTCTCAGGGATACAACATCCCATGGCAGAAAAACGCAGATTGGGATCAAAATTAGTTGATTACATATTTACTTCTAGATAACTTGGTACTGCAGTGATGGGTGAACTGGAAATTCCTTGAGCACATTGCACAGAAGGCACATACAGGTTTTGATGCAGTTTGGGCAGGTATTTGAACTCTGCTATATACAAATTAGCATGCAAAGTAACTTGGTATGAAGGGCACTTCCCTAAACACTAAAGTATCACAGACAGGCTTTGAGCTCTCTCAAAATTTAAGGATTCAATTAGGTCTTAATATTTTCTGACACATCTTTAAAATGTTTTTCTTCAGCCGTGGCCACTCCTTCTTGAGGGTCTGAAGAAATACAGGCCCAATGCCAGAAAGTGGATTGCCACATGTTCTCATTTTTTCAAAGACGTCATTCTTGCAGTAGTTATGATGCCGTGACTACTACTAACTGCTTAACTTAGCCAGGCCCCAGTCCAGAATCCCCAAGGGATACAGACATTTCTACACACCAGAACTCCCCATCGTTTCTAATGGTGAGTCCCAATCTCTTACGCTCCGATTCACTGACTTTCTTCCACTCTTCAGAACTAAAAGGAAAAAAAAGGAATTGGTTTAGTAAGTGAAACAAATGGCACCTGGAAAAAACAGCTCCTTGAAATATTTCCTGCAGTCCTATCTCTTTAAATAATGTCAGAGCGCTAACAGGGTGTATCATATTCAGGAAAATATTGTTGACTCCTATAGGGATATACTTCCAAATAATCATCAGTGATTTGGAAACACTTTTTGAAAATGATACATGGTTGAAAACAAATTGATAAATTGTAAAGAAGAATGGTATCAGTTTTCTGTGACAGTCCCTCCCTTAGTATAGAGAGAAGTTGGCTTGGATGGGTAGATTTGGGTGATATTTCCACATGAAAATGACTTTATTCCCTCAGAAAGTACATGGGTATATTCAGCCTGGATTCCCTCTTGGGTAGTTATCAAACTCTTCAACTTGATGGGAATAGCTAAATATCTGGTTCTCCCTAAAGAAGAATGTGCAGAGCTTGAGCTCTTCCTGTCATCAGAGAGCTTTGATAAGAAACTCTTACAGGATACTAATAGTGCTTGGCTGCTGGGACACCTCCAAGGTACCAAGAGTAATGCACAAGTGAATAAAGACCTTGCACATCAATTCCCAGCCCCTTTCCAAAGGTACTCTGCTCCTCACAGGACTGACTCCCAAGGTGGAGGTTCATTAGAACAGATGATATTTTATACTAAAGTTAATGGGATTTTTGCCTAAGGACTGTGAGAGCACTTCAGGGTGTTGGATTAATCCAGCCAACTTGTTTTCTGCCTGCATCAGACCAACTGAGCCTTTTTATTCAAAACTGAAAGCAACAACATCCTTGACCTGTGACAAAGAATGCACAAGGAAGGTGGTGCACCATCAGTTAAGGGTGCCATATTATTAAGTGTTAGAGTAATGCTTAAATGGCCTAGAAAGAATAATTGAAATGCACTGCATGTCAGGTGATGGGACTCAGCCATCTGAGCGTGCGAGTCTCTCTGCTCTACCTTAACCAACTGAACAGGTCCCTGCAGAACAGCTGACCCATACGATGGTCCATTTCAAAACAAGAAATAATACATTTTGCACTTCCATCACATAGTTCTTCACAGGCTTTTAGAGCTGGTTGTAAACAAAGCCTGGCAGAGTGTTTTACAGAGGGGAAATGAGTCACAGAGACTTTAAGTAACTTGCCCAAGGTCACATGGGGCACAGCTGGGAATAGACTTCCTGGCATTGGCTGATCAACAGAAGTCCAAACCACAGACTCTTTCCAGCCTCCCAATAGCTTGGAAAAAGAATGCCATAAGGATGACAGTCCAGAACGTGAAGCATGCAACATCTTCCTCGTTACTCCAGGACGTGGTCATCACTTGCTCATTGCTTGCTGTGCTCGGCAAGAAATGTCAAACCACTGTGTACAGTCAGTGAGCCTAATGCCTCATGGAACGACAGTGTTTCAGACTTTTTAATCGTGCATCTAACTCTTGGCATCCCCGTGTGACAGGTAGATTCCTCTGACACCAGAGTAAGCAGCACTTACCTGTCACTCCAGGCTCCGTGCCACTCCCTGCTGCCCCATGGGTTCCTCAGTCTGATCATGAACAGCTTCTCTGACTTGGAAAAGCATCTATGTCTCTTTCCTAGGTGCACCTTCCGAACGGCTGTCACCGAGTAGGCATGGCCAATGATCAGGCCGTTCTCAGTTTCTGCCTCCTGGTCATTGGTGGATGAAGTCTGCAGCCCAAAAAAGAAAAACAACAGAAAGAAGATTATGGTCAATCGCTTAATAGAGGTGGGCTCTAGCCTTATAGGATAAGGTTAACTGTTCCTTCCAAAATACTGATATCAGTAATTAAGATAACTCTGGAACTTGCAGCTTTCCCACGATCTTGGTCATGCCTGATATTGCCTTTAACTTGGATATACCGTATGGCCTGATGGAATATTAGCCAATCATTCTGATGCCTATCTCTCTATTAGCATGAAATTAATACCATTGGAGGAAAAACAGTAACAGCTGAGGCCAAGCGTGATACAACATGTGGCAAGAAATCTTTGTGTTGCACTGTCAAGACTTTGTCATTGTCCTTGATACAAGGATGATATCTGCCAGGGGTGCAAAACAATCATCACATGACCGCTGCCTACGTGCAGATTGGTGACTAGGGACTCCCAGAAATCAAGTTCCTGTCCCCACCACCACTCATCCACTGGCGCGGGACTTAGTTTCTGGGAGATGTTAACATCCCTGGCAGAGGACTATGTGTGACATCTTTTAATGTGGGGAAGCGGGTGCACAAGCAACAATCACATGAGCTTGACAGGAGGAAGCCCTGAACTCAGTGGCAGGGATATCCAAGACAACTGGAGACCTCCATCCCACTGCAGCCCTCATCCACCTTCACAGCTTCAGGGAACCAGCAGGTCCTCAAGTTTTGCCAGTAGGGTCTTCAGGAGTTTGGATGATGCTTAGTCTGGGACCTCACCTCTGATCTGCTCACCAAGGGAGACTCTACTGGGAGTATAAGACTCCAGATGACATAGCTCTGAGAGTCATTGGACTACACAAAGTTACGGTCCAAGGAGGGGCAAGACTGGGTACCACACTCCTGAACTGATCTAGGGTTGGACATGGCTTCTTGTGCTGAACTGTTCCAGTAAATGGCTTTGTTAAGAATTAGACTGATCTGATGGATTTGTTTCCTTTTTGGCCCCTAAATCTGTATTTGAACCCAGGTCTCTGGAAATATCAGGTTAGCATACTCTTCTGCTGACTTCTTAGTCCTGATTTGCCAATCAGCCAAGAATATTTGACGTTTCTTCTGTACCTGGATGACCATCTATCTATTTTATGCATGATGGGATTAATCCAATTACCCCTGGAGCCATTGTATTTAATCAGTTTTGGATTGGGCTTTGTCTTTTACTGATATGAAGCCTGATCCTATAGACCTTCCTTACTCTCTGTGGAGTCAAAACTCCTATTGTGACAGTAAGAAGTCAGTTATTAGGATCTGACACGGTGCATTTCTTAGTTCCCTGCATGTAGCATGCAATAATCTAACTCAATGGTCAGCAATGTAAGACCCACAGGCTGGATCCGTACCATGAAGCCTTTGGATCCAGCCCACAGATGTGAGGTTTTGGCCGCGGGGGACATGTTCTGCAGGTGCTCTCCCATGCCTCCATGGGGAAAAGGGCCAGCTGCAGGGGCTTTTCCCGTGCGGCCCGGGAGGCAAGTGGTGGCGGCAACAAGGCTCTAGCACCTGCCCACCCACCCATGCCTAAGCCACAGAGGGTCATTCCGGCTTGCAGCTGGAAAAGGTTGCCTACTTCTGATCCAACTCACATCCCTGTGACTATGAAATCCTGTGCTCTGGTATGAGGGAAGAGACAACCACAACTCTACAATTAATTAGGAGATGCTCCCCTCCTTGTTCCTCTCGGGATATAGAAATATCTGATAGAGTAGGCTGATGCATTTGAAAGTTTATGCCTCTCTGAACCAGCTAGTATGGAAGGTGGTGCCCTGTCCTACCTTGTGCCTGGGTTTATTAATGTGACAGAGCTCCATTTTCTGGTCCCTTGGTATAAAGTAAAAACAACAATAAACAGCAGTTGAACAAATTCTCGACACCTTTTGCTCTCCAGTCAGTGCTTACTGCGGCTCTCGAACCTGCAGGACAAATACTGAGGCCTCAGTGCGTTTCAGTGACCACAGCCTACAGAGCTGACACGTCGTATTGAGAGCTGCTGACATTTCTCACAGGTTAGGCTTTTTCCCTCCGATCTAATATTTCTTTCACTTGCATTCCTCATAAATAAGAGAGAACAAGGTTTCCATGACAGCACAGAAATCTCTCACCATTCCTGCTCATTAAAACTGTAGAGCTAGAGGGTCCTCCATTGGCCCCTTTGCTCTTCTTATCACCGGCACGGCTCTCAGGTTTGCTACCTGATATTTAAGCCATTAACACAAAACAAAACAAAACGCACAACAAAGCAAATTTAAACATCGCCTTTCTGTTTGAATTTCCCCCGCAGAAGCTCTGGGATATTTTGTGAACAAAAGACTGTTTTGGCTCATTTGCGAATTGAAACAAAAGCCTCTTAAGTATTAAAGGCTGCTCATTTAAGCGGCACAGTGGTGGATATAGCACATTTATCATAGCTGTGAGGGAAAATGCTAGTGAGTCAGTTTTACACACCATGCTAAATCAATATGTATAGTCCCCAAGTAATAATGTTTGGAGGCATTCATATTTTATTTGATTCAATGGGCAGAACTATAACTCCAGGGGAAAATGGGAAGCATTACAAGTGCTTAATTTTATTTTTATTCCAACCACCTAACCCTTTGCCTTTTCCCCTCAAGCTATTTCTATTAAGAAATAAAACCTCCCTCAATATTTGGGAGAGATAATTTCAATCATCCCCTCCCCTCCTGAAACTCCCATCCCGTGTGATCATGCCGCTAAGTGTGCCAGCACAGGACTGGGAGGAGGGTTAGTGACAAGACTTGTTTTTATTTATACATAATACACACCATTATCTGACATTTGTGGCCAATTTTGAGTCATAAATGTCAATCTAAAACCAAAATGAGTGGGTTCTAAGAAGCTGCTGGGATGTTTGTTGCAAATTGTAGCTCGAGTGCCTCAGTGGTCCTATTCGTGCGCATACATGGTTTCCCTGGTTGGACAACATCTCCCATGATGCACCATGCTCTCCCCCCTTATAGCAGAAGGAGGCAGTGTCTCCTGGAGTGGCATGGCCATGATGCATGATTCTTTGGGGGACATCTCCAAACACAGCTGATTTGCTCTCTAGTCAGAGAACAAGGGATACCTTTAGGTTACTACTGGCTTTCTACTGCAGAAATAGGGCCAAGCTGATTGTTGCAGGGTCCAGACACCATTGCCAATGTATTTAGACCAGTGATTCTCAACCAGGGTCCCAGGGCAGATCTTCTGAAGGGTGCCGTGAGGTGTAAGGAGATAAGTGAGGAGATAGGAAACTAAACTAAATGCAGACAGATGTAGGCTCAGGCTTGTCGCTGCCTGGATGATCCTCCTTTATACTGCAAACTGAAAGTACTGACCAGTTAATCATCATCATGATATCTCAGTGAAGGTGGGAAGGAGCTCAGTCTCCATTTTACAGAAAGGGGAATTAAAGCAGAGGCAGCCCACAGGGGCCAGCCTTCATGCTTAGGGATTTCCAGAATTGGAAGGAGAGGGCAAGGCAGTCAGGAGTTGTGTCAAGCCTTAGTGCCACTCTTACAAAACTACCTCTTCCAGCCAGCATCCTCAGCCCCTACAACACCACTCCATAAATAACCAACCAACACAAATTCACAGGAGACATTAACCCGCGTGGTGGCTGACTTGCTTTCTTTTCACTTGTGATTCAACCCTCCTGCTAGGTGGGATTTTGCAGTAGAGCTCAGCAGTTTCTTAGGTGTAATCTGAGGGCACTTGTACACATGACAGGGCTTTAGTTCTCCTAAATTGAAAATGATAGGTCTTTAATTGGTGGGTTTTAATTGTGATGATTAAAAACCCACCATTTCAATTTAGGGGCTTCTGTCACTGTTATGGACTAGTGACGGTCCGCTGGCAGTTCACTCCCCCAGGAGGCACCTGCCTGCTAGTGGCCCCAGGGAGTGCTGCTGCTGCCGCAGAGGGAAGGACTGGGGCCCCCCACAGCTCAAAGGCCATTGGCAGCTTGCCTCCTGGCTGTGGGAGAGACAGGCAGGCTCTGTGAGAAAAAAAAAGGATCCCTTGCCATTTTTTTTTCTACCCCTCAGTGAAGCCTGCCCGCATGAGCTGTTGCTGGTTTGCGCAGTTGCAGGGGGCCCAGTCCTTCCCTCCACAGCAGTGGTGACCCCAGGGCCACCTGGGCAGGATGCTAGCTGCATGGGTGCTGCCCCAGCTCACCCAATGCACGGGGCACTAGAAGTTCGGGTGTGCTCAGGGCAGCTTAGGCTTGGTGGGCTTCCAGCGCCCTGTCCCTGCCACCTTCCTGCTGCCTGGGACTGCCTGGGAATGGGCTGGCTTGCCCATGGGCCAGTGTGGGAAGGCAGCAGGAGAGCAGCTGGGTGTGCTGGTGGCCAGAGAAGGCAGTGAGGATGGTGTACGGGATGCTGGAAGCCTGCCGAGCCCAAGCTTCCCCGGGCTTCCATCGCCCCTTGGACCATCCCTGGCACCTTCTCCGGCCACCAGCATACCCAGCCATCCTCCTGCTGCCCTCCTGCAGTGCCCCATGGGGAGGCGGCAAAAGGTGTCCTGTGTGACATGTACACGTGACAGAGTTTTTGTCCACAAAGGGGTAATTTGCCATGATCAAACTAAAATACATCATAGATGGTTTAAGTTGCCACCAGCGTTCCCTCTAAGCTGCACGGCACGCACAGCCACGCTCATGCCACGCTGCCAGGGGTGTGCCTGCGCGGCCGTGCATGCCGTGCAGCTTAGAGGAAATGCTGGTTGCCCCATTCAGAAAGAAATTTTGACATGAAAAAACATCGCGCATGTGAACATGGTGATGCCATTATGCTAGATAAATGGTAATTTCTTGTCACTTTTCATCATGTGTACATGGCCACATCATCACGTGTACAAGCACCCTAAGGGGATTTTACCCTGGATTTTGACAGGAGCAGATTTAGATGAATGATTGGCCCCACTGACAATCCTGTCCATTGACTAGAAGTGCCTGGGATCAGGGAACATTTGTTTTCCCTGTCTATAAAGCACTCTAACGCATTGGCAACTTGATGTTTGGAAAACCAAGTTTTTAAACAGACTTAGCAAGAAATTAAATGGTTTATGGAAAAATGGCACCCGCTTCTCCAACTGGAAGGAAGGATATATGCTATGTTTGCTTGTTCAAGACACCAATTGGGCACTTCCCTCCATTCAGCAAGAGCAGCATTTCAGATCAACGTTCAGGTCAGTGGCTGGGCAAATGACTTTGTGGTTTCCCAGTTATGTTTGGTGGCTCTGGGAATTGTTCTTGGCTGACAGTGTTGCCAAGTCATTAACTTTCTATGTAGAAAGGCTTCCCCAAAATACAAATTAAGAATACACTGATTATGTCTATGCTAATATTGCTTTTTACCAGGCAAGGAAACTCATCAGAATAAAACATTAAAACACGTCTGTGCACATACCGAGATATAACAGCTGATTAACCCGCCTCTTTCATGTACTTTCATTAAGTCATTAAGCAGCTTCATTTGCTCAGAAATATTCATGCCATATTTTCCTTGTACCATGTCAATGGATTCTGCCGTGGCCCCGGTGAAATCGACAAGGGCGTCTGCAGCACTGCCCCCATCCAGGGCTTCGTAAGACCCAGCCAGCCTGGAGGAGAAACAGAACAGCCTGACTCACCCTCCGACTCTTAGACAGCATTTCATTCTGCTTGGTTCTGTGTAAAGTATTGGTGACAGACCAGAAGAAAAAGAGCCTATATGTATCCTAAGATTTCTGCTCGCTGGGTTGCTAGACAAGAGTTGCAATGTAGAGGCAACGCGCAGTGCGTGAAGGAATACCTTAGTGGAGATTTTGTGGCGGCAGCAAAGCTATATGTTTTCCAGTAACAGTATCAGTGGATAGGCCTGTACGAAGCAGCTAGCATTCGCTTCGGATTTGGATTTGGCTGATTTGGGGAACAGTGATTCGAATCACTGTCCCGAATCGTTTTGGCTGAATCGCCAAGCCAGGCCCATCCCCCGCCTGCTCTCCCAGCCCAGCAATGGCGGCCCTGCCTGTCCCAGCTCCCAGCACTTTGGGGGAAAAAAGCCCCACTCAGCAGGTGCTGCTGGGCAGGGGGGTGGGCGATCCCTGCTGCCCCCCACTGCACCATAACGCATGGGGGGCTCTGTATGAGACCCCTGCCCCCCCCCGCTCCCCGTGGCTGCCCTGCCCACCTCAGGTCTGGCCCTTTAAGAAAAAATCAAACCTGAGAAACCTGCCTCCTACTCAACTTTTCTGCCCAGCGGGCCCCTCAAAGCCCCAAGGCAGCTGCAGGAGTGGTGAGTCCAGGGGGTTTTCTCTCTGTTTGTTTCTTAAAGGGTCAGAGCTGGGCTGGGCGGGACAGCTTGTGCAGAGCCCCATATGCAACATGGGGCAGTGGGGGCCAGCAGCAGCACCTGATAAGTGGAGCTATTTTGTAAAGCACTGGGAGCTAGGCCAGGTGGGGTAGCCATGAGGGGGGGCTGGGGGAGCAGGCAGGGGATGGGGCCTGGCCCCATGGCCCTCTCCCCGCCTCCTCCACCCCTGCTTACCAGCTCCGAGTCCAGCTGCAGCTCCCTGCTGCAGCCACCGGGGACTGTCCAGATCATCAAAGCTCTCCGAATCTTTTCTGAAGATTCGGAGAGCTTTGAATCGATTCAGACCTTTTAATTTATCCCCTAATTTGATTTGGATTCGGAGATTCAGCCACTGAATCAGTCTGAAACTCCTCCTAATTGAATCACCACCCGAAGCTTTGCACAGCCCTATCAGTGGGGAAAACACAAAGAAATATGGGAGGGAAGAGAGAAGCAAGGAGCAGGTAGAGAGAGTGGATTTTATTTGTGGCTAAAAGGACTCTGAGCAAATTCATACTTTGCATAAGCTTTTTCCAGCAAGGCACTCCAGAATTCATTCTGCACATTCGAATGGCAGTAGATCAGCTCTCCATTCATTGTTGGCAACCGGTCATCTATGACCACATCAGTCCACTCTCCAAAACACCAAAACCGGAAGTGGAATATCCCTGCATATTTCTCTGGCCTCTTTGGATCCCATTCTTGTTCCTTAAAGGTTGGAATAACCTGAGAAATCAAGTGAAGCAAAGTTTACCAAACACAAACCAATGAGATCAATTCAAGGGACAGCTTGCCTTGGGAAGCAGCTAGCTACCACAGACAGAACTACTCTGGTAGCTTTGCTAGCCTTTGGAGAGTTAAAGCTGAAATCCGAGTGTAAGGGCACTCAATTCCAGCAGTGGTGAATTTGACTCCAAGTCCCTAGACTTTGTACAAGAGAATGAAGCTTAATCCCAGTCTTTACAGAGGCTAAATGCCATTGGGGTGATTGCAGGTGCTCCTTGTTTCTGCTATAGCCGTTGCCAGATGCACGGTGGGCACATCTACACATGCAATTACAGCACATAAATAAACTGTGGAGCTTATTGTTTTGGAATTAATTGCTCCCAGGCGCACCATTTGAACGTGCGCCTGGGAGCAATTAACTCCAAAGCAATAATCTCCACAGTTTATTCATGCATAGCATGTGGAGCCAGGTCAGAGAAGCCCTGGCTGGCTGGGGGCCCCAAGGGTTAGCCTGCCAGCCCAGGGCTGCTCCCCCTGTCTTAACGTGCTGTGGAGGGGCTGGCTGGGCCATGAGGGAGCTTCAGTGCATGGCTAGGTGGCAGGCAACCCCTGCACTAAAGCACCCTCGTGCCCCAGCAAGCCTCTGCAACATCTATATGTGCAGCTGCAGAGTTTTTTTACTCTGCAGCAGGACAATACTTTAATTCAGTGTTTCCTAACCAGTGTGCTGTCAGAAATGAACAGGTGTGCTGCGGAGTTTTGTCATGCCAATGAGCTACAATATGAGGATGGGGAATGCCTTAACAGGTGTGCTGCAGAAAAATTTTATTAATGTAAGTGTGCCTTGGGTTGGAAAAGGTTGGGAAGCACTGCTTTAATTTACAAGTACTATCCTGCTGCAGAGTAAATTAGTTTACTTCAGCCTCATACGAGTGCATGTGTAGATGCTGAGACATTTACTGCATAGTTAATTAGCCAACTGCACAGTAAATGTCTCATGTAGATGCACTCAGAGGGGACAGGGAGTCTCAGTTTAGTGGAGAGTAGCTCTCTTGGTCTCTGGAAGACATGCAACAACAAGCCATGGAAGTATCTAACGGGTGAAATGGGCAGCATACGAAAATGACCAACGAAGACGTGGACACCCCACATCAAGAAAGAGTGCTTACCAGCTGTAAGTGTTTCCCAAAGGTAAGGGAGAGCTGATAGTGGGGTACTGGTTATGCGATGGTGCCATTGACAGGAAGAAACACGAGCAGGATTTTTCCTGAGAACTACCATTCAGCAGCTGGCCCACCCGCCAAAGGAAACACTGGCTCCAGGTTGTCAGATTTCCTTAAAGAACAGATATTATCCCAAGGACTGAGCAGAATAGTCACCTACCTTTTGCCACAGATTCTCCCAAAGAGCCAAACAGGAGCAAGCTGCCACAAACCAGCAGTTTCCCAGTGTCCCTTGGTGTAAGTCATGGGAGCTGATGCCATTCACAAACAGATGGGGATCTTCGCAGAGTTCCTTACAGAACAAACCAGGAGTTACTGGTGCGCCCGGGAGAGACGATATTTAAGCAGCAGTGAGAAATGGAAATGCCTTGAAGAGGGGACTCACTCCCCCGAGCCTCGCCAAATGGTACAAGCAGGAAGGGGCAGAGCAGTTCCAGCCCCGACACAGCTCCCTCCTTAGCAGAAGAGTTGTTGCGGGCACTAGTAACACTATCATAGTTGTCCCCTTACACAAGCGAACACTTTTGCTGGTGACACGTCATAAATCCAGTCAAGAGATGGATAAGAAAGTATTCATGAGTGTGCCACAGCAGTACTTCCCTGACAGTTTGGGTAGAGATCCCCTGTGTCCAGGAATTTTCTACAGCCATATGGGGCAAGATGGAAGGAGATACCAAGATGAAGGCAGTAAAAGGAAAAGAAGGGAGTTCTTCAGGTAAGAGCATAGGTAGAACAACATGTTCAAGGGAGGAGAAGCAGAAAGCTATTTCCACTGACAAAAGGCTATTAAGATCCTCTTGCTTCTGTCTTGGTCACCATCATGGCTGTTCCTTATGTGTGAACTGGGCTCCACCACCACCAAGGGCATGAGCTACTATAGCTTTTGCTCAAGAGCTGAGCCTTCTCACTTATCATGAAACCTCCACTGCTTCCCACCAACACTCCTCTATCCCCACCTCTATCCGCTCATTTCTTCTGGACCCCAATTCATTTCTAGCAATAAGGAGCCAGCACACCCTTCGTCCTGCCACCTCCTTCATTTCTCTCCAATTCCTAAATGGCACGAGGGCAGCCCTGGCTTTCAGGTACTAAGATAAATACTGGGAGGCTTAGGAACATATACTTTTTGGTAGTTTCTGGTTTTGTTATCGCTATGCTATGTTCATTTTGCCTTCCACAGAAAAACTCTCCCTGCAGTGCCGCAATGTCATCATGCTGTGATCAATAATTGCTGTCTGTGAACCTGCAGCCATGGACTTCACCAAGCAGCACCTTAGAAGTCAGGCGCTTAGTGACCTGAACTTCACACATGAGTAATTGGTGACAGCTGCAATGATGCATACTGATTTCAATCTGAGTGCCACTAGGAATGCTTCAAAGTCTCTCTCTCAGGCAAGGTTTAGTGGCAAATAATTACTGTTACCTAGAGGTCAGGAAGATATAAGAAGAGAATACAATGAGAAGTTCTGCTGCTGCGTGGTGTTAGAGTAATGACAGACCACAAGGCTGCTGAAGGGAAACTTGGATGTTTCAGATACCAGTGGCTAAAAGGAAATACAACCCCTGAAGCTCTAGGAGATTCCAGTTGTATTGCAGCCTTTCCCATCCTATGCCAGCAGGGCAATAAGGGGGCTGTATGTCTGATGCTGTAGGTTTTCATTGTCCTTTTGATGCAGGTAAAAGGTGATATCAGTTTACAAAGATGTCAGGGCTACCTCTGCACATACTTTTCAACTCTCTTGCCATTGGGCTGTGGTAAACACCAATTTAGCAGAACCTATTTTCATAACTTAAATATACGATCTAAAAGCTTGTTTTCCTAATTCGGTAGAGCATACTTTAATCTGGCCTATACCACCTTTAACTCACAAAGAAGAGAAAGCTACTGGGTTTGCAAAATAGTTTAAAAGCTATTTCTCCAGACCATTTTCCTCATTTATTTACGTGTCTTCAGAGAGTTGAAAATTCAATGGAAGTGCGGGGTGCAGAGCACTCACTAGACATTATAAAGCACTTTATTCTTCTGTCAGTTACTTTTATATTAGAAAAGCTTTCTAGAAACATTGAACAATGTATGTTGTAAGAGTAAGTACATGAAAAATCAGGTATTGCTGCTTTCAAGTATGCCCACAGTTACCTGCCTGACCTACAGATGCATGAAATCACCTGGAACATGCAGTAGCTCAGGATGGCAACTTAGAGGATGAACCTTCAGTTGATGTAAAGAAGATAGCTTCATACTACAGCAATTACCACTAGCTGACAATGTAGCCTTCGCTTTGCTGTGGTACTAACTATTGGAAAAGCAACTTGCACAGGCTTTCCAGTTATGCTTTCCAGTTTGCCTTTCTATCTGAAATGATGTTTTATTGGTTTAATTAGCATGGGGTAATTTACCCTCTGGAATAAAACTGTCCATGCTTCTTCCTTGCCTCAAGAAGCAAAAACAATATTATTTTTTAAAGAACTAAACCACACCCAGAGTTGACAAGTCCAAAGAATATCTTATCTCCTTTGTTTCTCCTTGCCAAAAACAACCATACAAAGCTATCCTTTATTTTTTTTTAGAGCGAAGTGTGTCTAGTATCTCAGATACGCCTGCATAAAATGTCCCAGAGCAGCATGTGTCAAAATGCTAAACGTGGATATGATTAGAGGTCACTGCCCATTATGGCCCAAAGTAAACACTGAACAGAATTTTTTTTTTTTATATAAACAATGCCTCCTTTCCATTATAGCTGTATCATTTTGTAAAAGATCCTGCTTAATGCATTCTTACTTACTAAAATATCTGGCAGACTTGGACTGCCTGAGACCAAGCAATCACAGCGGTGAATGACTTACTTGACCTGTAATTTTATAAATCACAGGCACTTGAATGGCACCTACTCCCACCATACTTTGGAGTAATAGAATTGGTTTATGTAAGACAGCCAAATAATTTTTAAAGTTATATAATATTCA